AAGAACTTGGTTTGCACTAATTAAGCCATATATTGAACAAAGAGGTAAAGGATAAGAGCGAAACAAAAGAGGAATGGCAGCGGAGAGGACTCTCAAGGACCTCCAAACAAGAAACAATGAACAACATCCAGATGTGGAGTGTGTCTCCATGGAAAGGACAGAAAGTGCCAAAGGAAATATGTGAAATGTGGCATTTTTCTTTGTCGTGAACATTGTGTATATTTTTATTCTAAACGTGCAAATAATTGTTAATTATGCCGTTTATACAAAAGTTCATAGTTACTTTTTATAAAATTTGTATTTTTTTTTTATTCTATATCTCTAATAAAAATTTGGTAACGAAAATTGTGGTAAGTAGTGGTTTAAATATAAACTAAATTTTAGTATATTTTTTGAATCGTTGAATTTTTAACGGAAATTTTTAAAATGATTTAACTTATGGGGTGATAATTACCCCAACACACAGCTCCTGTCAGAAAATTTCACCACAATCGCCGGGTTAAAGGTACGATTCCGAACACGACCGCAAACTGCAGACCGCAGCGACAGACCTACTGGTTCATATGGTTTCTTATGAGCTGTATGTCGAGTAGAGCGGCACTGTCGCCACCGCAAACCGCAGGACTGCTGACTGCACCAGAACCAGTAGTGTCGCCGACCGCAGAGTGACAACACGTATTTTTGCTGTTTCTGAATATATCTTCGTTAGCCATTCGATGATTTTTAATGAGTATTGAATAACTTCCTTCAAATTGTCTATTTTTAAATAGAGACCTAGTCGGTTTCCTTTTTCTTTTATAATGCAAAATTATATACTATTATATATATTACATACTATTATAAATTCCCATCGTGTAATGCTGTTGTCGCTGTTTTGTAGATGCAGTGCAGTTCTGCTCGGAATTGGTCTGACCGCAGACGACACTGTCACTGCAGTCTGCGGTTTGCGGTCTGCAGCCACTTTCGGAATTTAACCTTAAGAGAAACTATCCCAAAGGTCAGAGAACAGAGAATATCGTATAAAAAATATAACGTCGCCAAACTAAGGAACAAAGGCACCGCTGACAACTTCCAGGCAGACCTGAGAGCAAAATTACTACAAAGCGAAAATAAAGATAACAAAGAAATGGAGTTGGGAATAATAGAAGCTATGAAGGAAGCAGCTCAAAATCAGTTACGTCAAGTAAAGAAAGGGAGGGATAAAGAATGGTTTGATGTTGATTGCAAGAAAAGCCTTAACAAATGAAACGAGGTATATGGACATATCAAGTGACGAAAATAGTAATGAATATGAAGCATAGAGAAGAGACGCGAAAAAAGTGTATAGGAGGAAAAAAAAGGGAATATATGGATAAAAAGCTCAAGAGATTAAAGAACATAACAATAAAAATGTGAGAAACTTCTACCAGGAGGCGAAGGGAGCTGTGACCAAGGCGCAAGAAAACAGAACTACAAGAGTGAAAAAGGGCTTTTACTAGGAGATAAGAAGGGGAAACTGGATAGATGGCAAGAGTATTCCAGAAAGCTGCTTAATGAAGAACAGGATGGAAAATGATGAGCAACTGTAAATTTAGGGGAAGTCAGCGACAATGCAGAAACAACGAAGGTTTCCAAGGTCTAGAAATAAGAGAAATCATATATAGCATGAAAAACGATAAAAGTGCAGACAGAAATGGTATTCCTGAAAAGCCGGAAATATGGAGAAAGGCAATAGTATATCCCATTCATAAGAAGGGAGAATAGAGATAAAGTGGTGCGCGAGGTAACATATAAGGGACTCGTCAGAGCCATAAGAAGTAGACTGGAAAGGCAATTAAACAGGCAGGTTGGTGAATACCAGGGAGGATTCAAAAAGGGCACATCCACCATAGATCAAATATTCCTGTTAAAAATAATTCAGAGCAGTACATACAAGCAACAGTTAAAGCTAAACAAACTCTTTATAGATTTCAAGCAAGTTTATGGTTCTGTGATAAGAAGGCGTCTGAACCATGCCCTAAGAGTACTTGGAATTCCAGAAAAAATGATCAGACTAGTGAAAATGACCTTAATGAAGACAATAGAGTAAGGATATAAGGAAGCTTGTCAGGAAAATTTGAAGTACTGCCCACAATACTCTTCAATGAGAGAGAGAGTGGAATACAAATGAAAAGTATGATTTATGACAACAGAAGCCAGGTCTTGGCCTTTGCGGATGATGTGGTGTTAATGGCAAGAACTAAAGGAGAACTGCTGAGGATTTTCACTCTCTGAAACGAAGGCTAAACAGTAAGGACTTAGCTATACCAAACAGTGATTCAACCCACGGTACTGTAGACACGAAACATGGGTTATGAACAAAAATCAGGAAAATATTATGCTGAACAAAAAGAAGAAAAATAATGAACATCTAGGAACATGTGGGGGAGGGGGTAAAAAACTATGAAGACATTAATGCATGATGCATGTTTTATATTCAAATTAATTCGAGGTCAATTTATCTGTCCTGATCTTTTACATGCTGTTAATCTGTGTGTACCTTCCAGGTAACAGAAATACAAATACATTCTACACTACCTTTCACAATACAATTTATGCTAAAGATGTGCCAATGGTAAGAATATTGGACAACCTCAATACAAATTCATGCATTGACTAACATATCATATAGCAAACTGAAAGAAACAGTATGTGATATCAGAAAGTACATTTATTATTTATTATTATCTTTTATTTAGTTAATTGCCAAATTGGGTATTATTTTTTAAGTTTGTATCTACTTGTATGACCTCTTTTAATATATGTAATAATATATGAAGCTCTAAACTACCAAGGGCAGTGACATAAAAGTAAAACTTCAAATACTACAAACTCTTTAATGAACCAGACGTCATAATTTTCATTAAAACACATCAATTCAGATGGACTGGACACATTATACAAATGCCAGATGTTGTGACATTCATTAAAACAAAGTAACTCCAATGGGCTGGACACAAAATAGAGAGTTATTGAAACCATAAGATGACAGCTGCTTTTATTACAGGATCCTTTAATAAAGTAAAAAATACTTCATGCCTAAAAGAGAGTTACTGCTAACATGTTAAAAAAATCTTTTATTTTGACAAATGACATTAAATATTTTTGTATAATATAAATAACCTATAAATGCCTATTAGATCCTATTTGTTATTTATACAGCTAAACCTAGATTAAAAGTTAAAATAAGAACCATTCAATTTGATATAGCTAGTTTAGCTGGGGCAAATAATGAACAGATAGAGCTGTTACCTATGAATTAGTGATGTAACAAATGTCATTTTTTTAAACATTCGCGAATGCGAATATATGCCACCGACATTCGCGAATGCGAATATTCAGTTTTTTTTTAATTTGGCAATTTTAATTGTCTCCGGCACTGCCGGCAGTCTCATTTGCGCGAGGTGTGTAGGCAATTGGAAAAAGTCTGTCATTTTTAACTGCTTTAAATTGTCCAGTATCATTCTATCATATTTGCTAAAGTAAAGATGTGAAACAGTTGTATTTATTGTAAAGAAGTTTATTGTAGGCGGTTAAGTTTATTGAGGGGTCATTTAAAAGGTTTTTATTTATATTTATAGTCACGGCCGGGCCAAAAACGTAGAAAGCACGTTTTTCGATCTTATTTTCTCTTTTTATAATCAAATTTGACTTGTTATAGAGAGAAAGTTATAGCAGAGAACTAAGTTCTCTGGTTATAGTTCCAATAAAAATTTCACGGGACACAAGTCACTCCACTTGCCCTGCTCTGCTCGTACACAAATACAAGTGAATTTTTAGTTAAAGTGTGATTAGCGATTTATTACTATGAGTAAATCAAATTATAGTGAAATATGGACTTATTTTTCACCACTTTTCGGTACTGAACGAGCTAAATGCAAGCCGTGTAATATTCGCAAAACATTCGCACAAATTTTGCGAATGCGAATGCAAATGCGAATATGCAAAAATATACGAATATTCGCGAATGCGAATATTCGTTACATCACTACTATGAATGTTATAAGTATAATGTAAAACATTAATCATGAAGATTTACTAATTGAGAATAATAATAACACTAAAAACAAGATTTACTAAATAAAACAGAACATGATACAACAAATTTTATCAAATATCCATATAAATATAAGTGAAGTTACACATCTTTCTCCCTTCTACTAGCAATTTGACAGGATACATCAAAATAAGGGATCTTTAAATAAAAGTTCTCTGGCATGTATACAACTTAATAAATACAGAGGTCCTGTATTTTAGTAAAGGACAAAAATAAAGGACACAAAACTGGGCATGTGTATATGTCAAAATAAAGGTGCTTTTATTACAGGATGATATAAAACCCTCTTCAATAACCCCTTAATATGAATACCAGACAACAGAATCGCTAAATAGCTAATCATAGGTACACCTGTAGGAAGAAGCAAAGGCTGGCCACGAATTAGGTGGTTGGATGGAAATAAGACTGACATAGGAGTATTAAAAACCAAATAGAATGGCAAAAAATCTTGGAGCAGACCAGGATCCACAAAGAATTGTTGAGCCAAAGATTTTGTTATAGAAATTGTATTCAAACATCTTTATTAGAATAAGCTAATCAATAACAGATATCTTAATACTTGTGATATATAATCTATAAATATTATTAGAGTTAAAAAAATAGATTCTTTCTAATTTTGACACAGTTAAATGATGTAAATCAATGAACATACTGTAACTACAATGAATATTGTCCAATGCTCACATATTTCTTTAAATAATTTAATTGCATCAATTATTTCATGAGAAAATAACCAAATACAAACTTTCCTAGTATGTTTTAAATTTTATAAATAGTATAATGTAACTCCTACTTAATACTATAATTTTAAATGTTTCTATGATGTACTTTAACATATTTCAAATGTATTTAGCAAAACTTTTCAGAAAAACTTTTTTTGCATAAAAAAATATTTATTTTATGAATCATTTTAACAATGTAAGTTCTAGTATCTAAGTAAATATTACCAGATAAAGATAATAAAATGTATACATTACTTATTTACATGTAAATCTTTCTTAAATCTGTTGGAGAAGTAATCATATTACACTGAGGGCACAATTTTTTGACTCCTAATGTTTGTAACCAACATTCCTCACAATGCACATGCCAGCAACATACCGAAATCACTGGTGTTCTATACCTTTCCATACAAATTAAACACTTAAACACTTCTTCTTTATTTGACACTCTACTCTCCAATTCTGCAATTCTATTTTTCAAAACTTTTAAAATAGGATCTCCATTGGTTTCTGCAATTTCCAGATGAGTTCTATGTGGGGCACACTTTTTTGGTTCAACTCCAGTTACAGCTGTGCGAAGAGCTTGGTTTTCAGAATTTTCACAAGGTAGTATCACATCTGTTTCAGAATACTCAGGAGATCCATACATTTGATGATCATCAACATCAACATTTAATTCTTCATCATCGTCAACCATATTTATTGTTGTTCCTAAGCTAGAAACCCCTCCTTCTAATAAACTAGTTGCACGAATACGAGACTGTCCAGCCCAATCATACTCTTCAAAGGCTTCCACATCAATATTTTCATCACTTTCACTACTATTTGCTTCAGATCTTCTAAGACACAATTCAACATGTAAAGTTAAATCTTCTTGTACCTCTTGATTACACACAGGACAAGTTTCTTCAGCTTTTCTTTTCCTGGTCTTTGTCCTTTGCCTACTTTGTCTATTTAATCGGATTTTTTGGAATGTTTCCCAATTTTTATCAGAATTCTTTTCTACTGAATCATTTGAAGAGCTTGGGGTGTTTTTTCCATTTAATAATTTAACTTTGGAAACCTGCAATTTATTTAGTTTTTCAATTTCAGAATTTAAGTGTAAATTTGCTTCTGAATCTCGTATAGTCACACTGCAGACAGGACAGTAAGTGGGGTAATTTAATCTTTTTTTAAATCTACAACTTCTAACCTCCTCCTCACTTTGACAACTGCTACTTGGGGTAGTATCATTGTCTTTAGGAAAACTCATCTTGATTTCAATAAATATGCATTTAATAACATTCAAATAATGTTTCTGTACGCATTTAATATACCATTTTTTCATAAGAACCAGATAATACACAGATGTTTCTTGAATTTTAGTAAACAACTATGATAGTAGGTATTGTATTACTCTATTGGATGTATTAATGATTTTCTTTAATGAAGATTTGAATTATTCTGTTACAAATTTAGAAACACGTATAAGAAATGGTTTGTTTAATCAAATTTCTTAATTGGTATGGGGTTGGAATTGTTCCAATTGTTTCATTTTAAAAACAAAACTTTAGCTTTTCAAACAAAATTAGACATCAATAACAAACATTGACTGATGTTAATCGAACGAAGTTGACATGAAACACAAAACACGGAATTTTTCACGGTTCGCCATTTTCTATTAGAGATTCTAAGTTCTAAGGTAATACTTGGGTCTCGGGCAACCATAAAAAGATAGTGGCCAGGCTTACGATTGGTCAAAAATTTCAGGCTTGCGATTGGTTAGAAAACTGACTTGGATTATAATATTGACATAACCTCGAATTTTGACAAGTGTTTCTGTTTCATCTTCATCCAAAATTAACAAAAACAAACACAACTAAAATGTAGAATTTCCTAAATATGTGATGTAGAAGGATGTGTGTAAAATATTTAGTTGAGAACTAAAGAGCAGCATGTCTGAAAACCAAACAAAATGAAACTGAGGGCATTGATTTAAAAATGTTTACTGGTAAGTAATAAAATATTTTAGAGATATTGACAGTGTCCATAAAGCCTATCATATTAAAAAGTAATAATTGTTTAAATATAGTCATATACAAATTTTGTTTTCTGTAAATATAGAAATTTTAATTTTCTACTCTTTAATTAGGTATATTATTTATAGGAAGACAATGAATAAAAGATCACTGAATAGGAGAAGAAAGTTCATCAAAAACTAGGCTAATGTTGTAACCATAAGATTATTTTAACTAGAGATGCAGATATTTCCTCTTGAATATATAGTAAGGCAAACCATTCAATATAAGATTCATTGAATATTACAGGTTGTTCTTCCAACATGTTTCTTTTTTTCTTGAACCAAACTGCTTGAGGTTTGTTAGGGTTGACAGCTATATTGAACTGTATTAACCAGTTTTCCATTGAATTTAATGCTTCTTGTATACTTGTTGCACCATTTCAGTTTGTATATTTGGCAGCTATTGCTGTATTTTATGCATACAGAAATGATGACAGTTCTCATGATTTGAATAAATATAATTTCCAACTAATAAGATATCAAAATAATATATGATCAGGGTTTTTCTGTAGCTTGTAGCTTTTAGATATATGTGTATAAAAGCACTTTTTTCCAAAGTTAAAAATATTATTTTATGTATAAATTTTATGAAATAAATGCACAAATGTGAAAACAAACATAATTTATTTTATTTTACAAAATTTACAGGTACATCCCAATTATATTTTAAATATTACATGAAATAGGTAGAGGATTGAAAAGCATATTCATTAAAGATCTCACAGGAACACTGAGAACAAACAAAGAAAATACAGCAGGAAGCTATATAAAGATAATTAAAGGCAGGAATTTGTGTTAGAATATACAACATTAAAAGTGGATGTTGTCCTATGGTGGTTCATTATGTATTGACAGTATAGAAAATTCGGTAGTAATGCCAAGAAAAAATATAAAATAGATTGTCAGTCAAGTTCATGTAAAGTTTTATAATGTTCTGTAGTTGAGAAGGAATAAAGTATAAGTTTGTTGAGGCTCAGAACAATTTTATTGGTGCATATACTTAAAGGAACACTTCACCTAACTTAAATTATAACTTGTACACCAAACCCCTGACAAAACAGAAGAAAAACCTAATATACTGGAAAATGAAGTAAGACTAGATATAAACTAGAGTAAAAGTCAGAGTAGAGTAAACTCAAGTATAACAAAGCACCAGGTCTAGATATGATGACAAACAGTAGAAATGCTCAAAGCCGCAGAATAAACCTTTCTAGTACAGTAAAATTGCTTCATGTGCTCTGTAAACATACCAAACAATGTCAATTTCTGATGACTGGACAAAATCTAAAATATTAATAATACATGCAACAAAATGCAATAATTATAAAACTATTTCCGTTATATCACATGTCAGCAAGATACTGCTACACATAATCATTGAGACACTGAATAACTTTCCTGTAAAGAGAAACAGCACAAGAGCAAACTGGATTTACCAATAGTAGAACTACTTGAGAACAGCTGTTGAATATAAGACAAATAATAGAAAAATGTAGGGATTCAATATCCAACTATACGTATACACAAGTATTTATTTTGTAGATATTAGAGATCATTTCATTCTGTGTTAGTAATTACTCTTTGTATGCTGTAGTTATAACACAATTTTGAAATAAATATTATTATTATCCAAGGAAAAGTAGAAGGCTGAAGATCACCAGGAAGATCCGAAGATCCCCAACAAGATGGATTAACTAAATTACAGAAATATACAAAAGATGTATGCATTAGTTAAAAGAAATGAACAGAGACAGAGATCTTTGGAGAAGGACAATACATGATATAACTACAACCACTACACTTCCTTTGTGGCTGAGGAAGGATATATATATATATATATATATATATATATATATATATATATATATATATATATATATATATATATATATATATATATATATATATATATATATATATATACATTCATATATATATAAATCATCATCATTCTCAGCATATGCTGCCTCCCTTAAGTAGTCATTCTTCATTTGTACCTATGACTATCTAATATTCGCTTTTCTATGCCATGTTGTACCAGCTTGTTTCCTTGTGTCATAGTCCCATCTTAAATTTGGATGTCTTCTTGGTCTCTTGACGCCTCTTGGATACCACAGAGTAATTCTAGTGGACCATCTATTGCCAGTTCTTCTTGCTAAATGTCCCACCCACTGCGATTTTAAAGATTTTATTCTGTGGATTACATCAGTGACCTTGGTTTTCTGTCTGATCCATCCGATTTTTTTTCAATCTCTCTTGGTTATACCTAACATGCATCGCTCCATTGATCTTTGAGTTTCGCTATTATATGTTTCTTTAGTGTCCAAGTTTCGCAGTCATATGCCATGACTGGTAGTATACACTGATCAAATGCTTTTTTCTTCAGGTGGAGTGGCATCCTGGATTTGAATATAACTGCATTTTTACCAAAAAATGCCCAAGCCAGTTTCATTCTTCTGTTGATTTCTGGGAGTAATGAGCCAGATTTATGCATTCATTGTATACTCTGGTAGTGGGAAATTCTGGAGTGTCTTCATAAATTTTTACCTTAACTTTTGCTTGTCTGTATATATTTGCTAAATTTTCTATGTACGGTTTGTCAATGCCTTGGTTGGTCAAAGCTTCTATTACTGCCTTGGGATATACAGAATCGAAAGCCTTTTTGAAATCTATGAAGGTTATTGCATTTGTAGATGATCTTTGTGAATATCTTGTATATAATTGGTAGTAGACTTATAGGTCTGTAGTTTTTAATATCCTCTTTGTTACCTTTGTTATGAATGAGAATTATGTTTGCTGTATTCCAGTGGTCTGGTATGCATCTTGATCTTAGACAGTTCGTAAATATGCCTGCTAAGATTTTCCAGGTATTTTTGCCAGCGTATTGAAGCAGTTCCCCTGATATACCATCTATTCCAGCTGCTTTACAGTTTTTCATTTTTGTAAGTGTTGGTTCTACTTCTTCCAGAAGGACTTCTGATATATATATATATATATATATATATATATATATATATATATATATATATATATATATATATATATATATCATGTTGACAATTTTTTATTTAAAATTAGTTGCAAAGCAAGTGAATTTGCTTCATCTGGTGAAGGCACTGGTAATATTTTTCTTTTAGCACCTGCTTTTAAAGATTTTTTGACTGCAAAAAATCTGCTCTGCTTACTAATATTTTTATTAGTTGAAATCACCTTCAGTTCCTTTAAAGTTTCCTTATGTCGACTGGAGGCTTCCAATGTTGGTTTAACAGGTGTTATAAACTTCGAAATAGTTTCCAGAGTACTATTATCAGATACATCATTTAGATTAGTGACAATTTCAAGTATATCACTAATATCTTTTATTAGTTTTGATTTTCTTTCAAAAAAATTTCTTTCTTGCATAGACGGATTATAATTATTAGATATAGCTTGTACAAGTTGTAGAGCCTCATCTTCTTTTGCATCAGTATGCATTATCAAACTGTTGTCTACACGATCTAAAAAATAAGTAAAACTTAATTTCACATTGTTTAATATATTGGCAAGAACCAATAATACAGCATTTGTAAATTTCAAAAAGGTTTCACATGTTCTGCATATTTGATAAAATAAGTAAAGTTACAAGTATGATTTCCATGAGAAAAACTGAATTAAAATGAAGGATATAATTGAACATTTCATTTTTTTTATCCAAATTCTCTATCAAGTCAATGTGACTGGATGCTCAATAAACACCATATGTGGTTAAACAAATATATTTTAAACAAATACAAACCTATTTCTGAAACTACTCCAGATAAAACATTTGACTTCTGCTTTCGATATGTGCAAACCAAGTGTATATGTTTGCACATATTCCATTTGATTGATGAATCGAGGCAGTTACATGAATACTGGTGTAAACAACTTTTGCATTCATCACATGCTAATTGGCAAACACAATTAGATTTAATTTCATCTACCATATATATTTCATTGGTACTATCAGAAGGTACTTCCCAGCCACATTCTTTTTCAATAACTTTTGCAATATTTAATTGTTTGCTTGCATTGTGGCGAGCTCGTATATGGCACAATTTTGAGCATATTTTGCCTTTATGAATGGCAATAATGCGTTCAAAAATTTTGTCTCTAACAAACTTCATTATAGCCATTATAGCTTTGTCCATACGTTTGTTATATTTACCATTTAAATAAAGATATTTTATTGTTCTATGCATTCTCTCAATATGCATATTGGTATTTAATCCTGCATTTAATCTATAACAATATGCCCAATTTTTTACTTTTGGTAGATAATAATTTTTAAAGTAAGTACCAAAACCTGCAGTGTCACTATCCTTACTGCAATAATCTAAAAACTGTTGTATCATTATGGAAAAGGCTTCAACATCCCTTTCTTGCAGCAAAGTTCGAACAATTTTGTAAATAACAACCTAAAAAATTGATTTTTAAAAATTAAACATAAACAAAAGTAAAGTTCATTTTACCCTCTTTTCTTGTGAAG